TGGGCACAGAATTAAGCCATTCCTGTCCGCTGCCGGCATTGAGCTGGGAAATATAGCTCCTTCCCGTCTTCTTTCTTCTCCTCCTTGGCAACTGGTTAGGCCTGAAGTTGACCTTACTTTGACACAGTTTAAGAAATCGGAAACTAATGAATTACAATATAAACAAGAATATAATCAACTAAAAACTAAATATAATACACACAAATCCTTATTTACAGATGGGTCCAAGGACGGTGGCGCGGTTTCATGTGCCACGGTCATTGGATCCAGAACACTATCTTCTAGAATACCAGATAACAGCTCCATTTTTACAGCACAAGCAAACGCCATATTAGCAGCTCTTAAATATATTCAACGACATCCAAAACATAATCAATATATCATCTTTTCTGACTCTCTTTCTTGTCTTCAGGCTATTAAAAATATTTCTTGTAAGCATCCACTTTTATTAGAAATTATTGAATTGTATAATGAACTTGCTACTGGCCAATGCGACATCGTCTTTTGTTGGTTACCCAGCCACGTTGGCATTTCTGGGAACACAATGGCTGATCTTGCTGCTAAGGCAGCCCTCAACAAATCTGTGACACCACTTCTTATTCCATACTCTGATTATAAAGCTGGCATTAGAACTTACATCCGTGATCTGATGCAGAAGAAGTGGGACGCCCAAGTAGGTATTAATAAGTTACATGTAATAAAACCCTATATTGGTTACACCTACTTGGGTTGTCAGTCCAGATTTGAAGAGGTCATTATATGCGACGATGTCGCATTGGCCATACCAGATATACTCATGAATATTTATTGAAAGGCGAAGATCCTCCGTTTTGTATCCCTTGTGATGAAAGGATCACAGTCAAGCATGTCTTGCTTGACTGCATTGAATATTCCATCACAAGGGATAAGTATTTTAATGTCAAAACACTGAAGGATCTTTTTAATAATGTTAGTTCTCATTTAGTTATTGCCTTTTTAAAAGAATTAGATTTGTTAACAGATTTGTAAATAGCTAAATATTTTATGATTGGAAGTTTGAATTAGTAACATAGATTGTTAGTGGCTGTATCCTCAAAGGGGGTTGAAGTAGTGTAAAATTATTGTCCTCCTGAGAGGGTACGTAAGTCCCAAAACTTTCAAAGTTAACTTTTTGCTTACCCGATTTTTAATCGTAGTATGTTTGTTCATTTAAATTTTGGCTAAACTTGTCCTACAATCGCCAACTGCTGAGGGGATGGTGTAAATCCAACTAGGATCCATGCAGGTAGCGAAAGTAATGTAAGTCCCCATGGTTTCTAGTATGGTGATCTACCTTCAGTTGTTGGCGATCTATAGCCCAATTTTATATTGTGTTGTCTAAAATGTTTTAGACTCTATTACTAGTTTTATCTGTATATGTGATACTCTAGTTGTTTTACTGTCCTTCGTCGGCAGGTTTTGTAATATACATATATTTCATTTCAATATCAAATTTTCTCGTCACGATATGGCTGAAATATTGCCGATGTGACGTTAAATATTAACTCACTCACTCACTCTGGTGGTTGAGGGCACTGGTTCCAGGAACAGTGTTCCTGTGCCCAAAACACCACTTCGGCCCTGACTTCACCTAGACGGGTGGTTGGATGGGCCTGGTTCAACCAATCGGCTGGTCATGCCAAGCCCTGTGTATGTATATTGTGATGCACACATTTCGGAAACTGTTTAAAATTTAATTACATAAGCTGCATACAACTCTTGAGCAAGCTCATGACACTGCAGCGGGTGGTGACAATATACATTACCAGCTACTAAAACACTTACCTGAACCATGTCTGATGACACTTTTAGATATATTTGACCAAATATGGACATCTGGCGAATTTCCTCCTTTACGGCGTAATGCCATTGTAGTCCCAATACCAAAACCTGGCAAGGAGCATACAGATCCGTCTAATTACAGACCGATCTCTCTAACTAGCTGTGTCTGTAAAACCATGGAACGTATGGTGAATAATAGATTAACTTGGTTTCTTGAAACCGATTACCTTATAACAAATATTCAATGTGGTTTCAGGAAAAATCGTAGAACCATTGATCATTTGGTTCGTTTAGAATCCTTTGTTAAAATTACTATAGTAAATAAACATCATGCTGTATCAATTTTCTTTGATCTTGAGCTTATGATACGACCTGGAAGCATGGCATTTTGAAGGATTTACATGATTTTGGTTTTGAGAGTCCGTTTGCCTCTTTTTATACCACAGTCTTTAAAAGACAGGCAATTTCAAGTCTGAGTGGGTTCAACCCTGTCTGACCATTATAATCAGGATCAGGGTGTCCCCCAAGAAAGTATTTTGTCTGTCACTTTATTTAGCATTAAGATCAACATTTTATCCAAGGTTTTAAATGACTCAATTGATGGGTCACTTTTTGTAGATGGAAGAATCACGGTCAAGCATGTCCTGTGACTGTGTTGAATACTCCACCACAAGGGATATCTATTTCAAATCATAAACTATGAAGGATCTTTTTAGTAATATCCTCATTTAATTATTGCATTTTTAAAAGAAGTAAACTTGTTAACTGATTTGTAACTAGATACATATTTTATTATTGGTAGTTTAGATTAGTAACTGAGATTGTTAGCGGCAGTACCCTCTAAGGGGGTTGCAGTATTGTAAAATTATTTTCCTCCTGAGAAGTCCAAAAATGTTCAAAGTCAATTTAAACCCGCCTGGACTTTTAAACGTAGCATTCTTGTAATTTTAATTTTGACTAGCATTTCTTACAATCGCCAGCAGCTGAAGGGATGGTATAAATCCAACTAGGGTCCATGCAGGTAGCCAAGGTACTGTAAGTCCTCATGGTCCCTGGCATGGTGATCTACCTTCTGGTGTTGGCGATCTATAGCCTGTTTTTATATTTTATTGTCCAAATAGTTCTATCAGTTTAACTCTACATACTAGTTTTAGTTGTAATTGTGATACTCTAGTTGTTTTACTGTCCTTCGTCGACATGTTTTTATAGCGTACATATATTCCATTTCACTGTCAAAGGTTCTCATTTCACTTTTTATTGTGTAAATTGTTTTCGTCACGATATGGCTGCAATATTGCCGATGTGACGTTAAATATTAACTCACTCGCTCATAATTTTCAATTAACTGTTGGATTCGTATCAATTGTAGATGTAATGTTGCAAATGAATAATAGGGTTGTAACGAGCTCAAATTTCACTTCGTTATAATTGTAGTTCATTATACACATCAGATTTCATCATATGCATCAGTTCCTAAAACGAGTTTGTTTTGGTATTGATGCTTTTTAAAAGACGATGTCGCATTTGCCAGTTGCAAGATCATTGTGCAATTCAATTATTTCAATTAAAAGTGTTTACAGTGAGTGAGTGAGTTAATATTTATCGTCACATCGGCAATATTTCAGCCATATCGTGACGAGAACAGTTTATAATTATATTATAGATCAATAAAGTAGGACATTAAAAATAACCTGTTGTCGAAGAACAGTAAAACTACTAGTGTATCACAGATATCCATTTAAAACTAGCAATTAAATCCACAATATGGGAACTATAAATGACAGTACAATATATAAACAGGCTATATATTGCCAACAACTGAAGGTAGATCACCATACTAGGGACCATGGGGACTTACAGTACATTTGCTTCCTACATGGGCCATAGCTGGATTCACATCATCCCCTCAGCTGTTAGCAATTGAGATATATCTAGCAATACATTAAAATTACACATATTCTACGATTAAAAACGGAAAATTGAAATTTACTTTGAATGTTTTTGGACTTACGTGCCCTCTCAGGAGGACAATAATTTTACAGTACTTCAACCCCCCTCGATGATACAGCCACTAACAAGCTCAGTTACTAATTCAAACTTTCAATCATAAAATATTTAGCTAATTACAAATCTGTTAACAAATTTAATTCTTTTAAAAAACCAATAATTAAATGAGGGCTTATATTAGTTAAAAGATCCTTCATAGTTCGGGATTTGAAATAGATATCCCTTGTGATGGAGTACTCGACACAGTCAAGCGAGATATGCTTGACCGTGATTCGTTCATCACAAGGGATACAAAAAGGAGGATCCTCACCTTTTAATAGGTACTCATGCGTATATCTTGTGTGGTCAATACGACATCGTCGTATGATGACCTCTTCAAATCTGGACTGACAGCCCAAGTAGGTGTAACCGATAGTTGTTTTTATTGCATGTAATTTATTTATACCAACTTGGGTGTCCCACTTCTTTTGCATCAGATCACGGACATAAGATCTAATAGCAGCTTTGCAATCAGAGTACGGGATCAGAAGTGGTGTCACAGATTTGTTGAGTGCTGCCTTGGCAGCAAGATCGGCCATTGTGTTCCCAGAAATGCCAACGTGGCTGGGTAACCAACAGAAGACGATGTCGCATTGGCCAGTAGCAAGATCATTATATAATTCGATTATTTCAATTATAAGTGGATGTTTGCAGGATAGATTTTTAATCGCCTGAAGGCAAGATAGAGTGTCAGAAAAGATTATGTATTGTTTATATTTAGGATGTCTTTGAATATATTTGAGATCTGGTAAGATGGCGTTTGCTTCTGCTGTAAATATAGAGCTGTTATCGGGCAATCGAGAAGATATTGTTCTGGTTCCAATGACAGTGGCACATGCCACCGCGCCATCATCTTTGGAACCATCTGTAAATAAGGATTTGAATGTATTATTTCTATTTCCGTACTGACTAAATTTGTGTTTATACTGTAAGCCATTAGTTTCGGATTTTTAAATGTGGTCAATGCTAGGTCAACTTAGGGCCTAACGAATTGCAAAGGAGGAGAAGAAAGAAGATAGGAAGGAGCTCTATTTTCCAGCTCAATGCCGGCAGCAGAAATGAATGGTTTAATTCTTAGCCCAAGAGGCGGAACAAGAGAAGTAGTTCTGTTCTATAAAGAGGTGCTGTAAAGATAATTGTATACGACGTTGGTGATGGCTCATCTTCCTCAACATAGAGACTGTCAACAGGAGAAGTTAGACAGAGTCTTAGGCCTTGGTAATGAATATAATCTAATCGTTTTAGGTTGCTGTTGCAGGCTCCACCATATACGATGGAGCCATAATCAAGTTTGGAGCGGACTAGTGATTTATGTAGGCGTAGGATGGTAGTATGATTCCCTCCCTACTTTGAATTAGAAACCACTTTCAATAAATCCAGTGCCTTCACGCATTTATTTTTAAGGGATTTTAAAGAACTCGTTGGGAAACAAGCAACAAAGAAATGTGGGATAATTAACAATTGTATTTACAAATCACTTCTGTGTAATTACAGCAGCAGTGCAAAGTAGAGTTGAAGTACAAATTCAGTAACAGTTCAAATGTACAAGCAGTATTATATGAAAACACTGATTAGAGCTATACAGGCAACTTATTACTATTGGCTGAGGATCCTGGGTGAAAACTGATCTTCCCATAATTACTGGTCTTATATAAGATGTAAGGTTAAATGCTTGAGGCAGGAACTGGATCCACTTATATTTAAAGCAAAGTTTCCTGAACATTCTGTAGCTACTTAGGGGAGACTATACTGGGATATTCTAGAATAGCAAAGGTATTTTCACCCCAGGCTTGTGTCAAAATATAAACAGAGTAACCAGCACATCAATGTTTGTACTGAATTTTCACAGAAACAATGTAACATAAATACACCACCTTTCTCCAGTGCCACTTAAGAGATGTTAAACCTGTGTTGTGTTTAGTTGCCTGCAGCAACTTCCGGATCCTGAATGCACTCTCGGTGATGAGGAACCAGACCCACGTGGACGTCACCTGCTCCAACGGATTCTCCTACCTACCGAACACATCAGGCAAATATTTCCATGACAAAGTACCATTAGACATAGGACTGTGCATGCAGACCCTCTGGATTGGCCAGGTACAGTGACACCTGCTTGGGGACCTAACACATTTATCTGCACGCTCTTCAACATAGGCATCACATCATGTTTGACATATTAACATACTCGCCGTTAAAAGACCCTTTCCATCATTTTAATTCAATACAGTTTTATGTACGAGACAAACGATTACCCTACTTCATAATGATAGATGCATGTGCAAACTACTCAAAATTATACATATTGCTTTAGTTCTGCCAAACATTTTACAAGTCGCTCAAGTTGTTTTTCGACACAAACCTGCTCATTGTCTTCTTTACAAGTGCGAGAATTCAGAACGCCTATCCCTGCTTCCCTGTCTAGTTGTTATGTAACACACACCTGCTCACTGTCTTCTTTACAAGTGCGAGAATTCAGAACGCCTATCCCTGCTTCCCTGTCTAGTTGTTATGTAACACACACCTGCTCACTGTCTTCTTTACAATAGGTGCAAGTATTCAGAACGCCTCTCCCTGCTTCCCTGTCTAGTTGTTATGTAACACACACCTGCTCACTGTCTTCTTTACAAGTGCGAGAATTCAGAACGCCTATCCCTGCTTCCCTGTCTAGTTGTTATGTAACACACACCTGCTCACTGTCTTCTTTACAATAGGTGCAAGTATTCAGAACGCCTCTCCCTGCTTCCCTGTCTAGTTGTTATGTAACACACACCTGCTCACTGTCTTCTTTACAAGTGCGAGAATTCAGAACGCCTATCCCTGCTTCCCTGTCTAGTTGTTATGTAACACACACCTGCTCACTGTCTTCTTTACAATAGGTGCAAGTATTCAGAACGCCTCTCCCTGCTTCCCTGTCTAGTTGTTATGTAACACACACCTGCTCACTGTCTTCTTTACAAGTGCGAGAATTCAGAACGCCTATCCCTGCTTCCCTGTCTAGTTGTTATGTAACACACACCTGCTCACTGTCTTCTTTACAATAGGTGCAAGTATTCAGAACGCCTCTCCCTGCTTCCCTGTCTAGTTGTTATGTAACACACACCTGCTCACTGTCTTCTTTACAAGTGCGAGAATTCAGAACGCCTATCCCTGCTTCCCTGTCTAGTTGTTATGTAACACACACCTGCTCACTGTCTTCTTACAATAGATGCGAGTGTTCAGAACGCCTCTCCCTGCTTCTCTGTCTAGTTGTTATGTAACACACCTGCTCACTGTCTTCTTTACAATAGGTGCAAGTATTCAGAACGCCTCTCCCTGCTTCCCTGTCTAGTTGTTATGTAACACACACCTGCTCACTGTCTTCTTTACAATAGGTGCAAGTATTCAGAACGCCTCTCCCTGCTTCCCTGTCTAGTTGTTATGTAACACACACCTGCTCACTGTCTTCTTTACAAGTGCGAGAATTCAGAACGCCTATCCCTGCTTCCCTGTCTAGTTGTTATGTAACACACACCTGCTCACTGTCTTCTTTACAATAGGTGCAAGTATTCAGAACGCCTCTCCCTGCTTCCCTGTCTAGTTGTTATGTAACACACACCTGCTCACTGTCTGGCACCCGTGAAGGGCCACCTCCTCGTGGTGGGTGCTGGGTCACGCTAAGAGCCCTTCAACCCCCCGTTGTGGACCCGGGGGCATATTTGGTCCACCAACCTGTTTGCCGTGGGTTGCGCCCCTGTGTCGGTGGAGGACGGGATTCTGGTGGTTGAGGGCACTGGTTCCAGGAACAGTGTTCCTTTGCCCAACACACCACTTCGGCCCTTACTTCACCTAGACGGGTGGTTGAATGGGCCCGGTTCAACCAATCGGCTGGTCACGCCAAGCCCTGAGCACACATTATGTAATGTTGCACAAAATTTTGAATATTGTAACTTCTATTTTTAAGTCTTGGCGAATTTTTAGAGCTTTTGAATTTCAACTACACAATTTCATATGTGTTTTTGCCTAGAGTCGTATGCCCAGAAGGCGGTGGCTCATGGGCCAATCAGGTGGAATATTTACCTTTGTATTATTCTGCTTGCGTATATCGTCCGGGTATCCTTGGTGCTGCAGGCTGGAAGCCCGCCTGTTTTTAGCATTGTCCTTGTGATACTCCGTGGAGGGTGGGGAGCTCGGATGATGAACCATTCAACAATAACTATGGCTTACGAAACCCCCATTACAAAAAAACGTCCACTTGACACTGATCCTGATGTTAACGACCAAAGACTGCCCACATCCATTGACTACTGGCCACGTTTCATTGTGATTGAGACCGTTGACAAAACACCTTTAAAGCTGAACCCTTTTGCTGTATCAAAAGGCATACAAGGCATTGCAGGAGATGTTAAAACATTAAACGTTTGCGGACAGGTGCACTTCTAGTTGAATGCAGTAGAAAACCACAGGCTACCAACCTCCTGTCAACTGACTCATTTGTCGGCATTCCTGTATCAGTCTCTGCCCACCGAACGCTTAACACCAGCAAGGGCATAGTAAGAGACCGGGATAGACTTTTACTGACATGCTGGAAATAGATATTGTCTCGAGATGAAAGAACAAGGTGTTATGTATGTTAAACGCTTCACAACCCGGAAAAATAATGAAACCCATCCAACCAACACGTATCTGTTCTCTTTCTCCACTCCGACTGCTCCAAAGTCAATAAAGGCTGGTTACTGTCACATCAAAGTGGATACATACATACCAAATCCACTGAGATGCTTCAAGTGCCAGAAGTATGGTCATGGCGTCAATACCTGCACATTGTCTGTTGTGTGTGCTCACTGTGGTGAGAAAACACACACAACAGAAGATTGTGACAGTACTTACAAAAAGTGTACCAATTGTTCAGGGGACCATCCCTCTTTCTCTAAAGAGTGTCCGATTTGGAGACATCAGATGGAAATAAACAGAATCAAATTTACTCAGAATATTAGTTTTGCCGAAGCTAAACAACTTGTACAAAGATGCGACCAACAAGAGACATATGCTTCAAAAAACCAGAAAACCTGAGGCAACTCCTAAAGTACCTAAATCATCTTCCAGCTGCCAAACAAATTTGACTTGGGTAAAAACCGATTCTCCTCAGATTTTTTCAAGTGCAATATCGACTCAAACAGCGGAGCCACTTTCTGGCATGTCTCAAACTCAATCAGAGCAAGTTCCTGATCCTAACGCATCCTCTCAGTCAACCACAAAGTCTCAATCGCTATCTAATGTCCATCAAATTGCTAAAGGCATGACTAAACCTAAACCTGATTATTCAAAAAAAAACAAAGTGGCAGAGCCCCAAAAGGGTCTGAAAATAAAATCAAACTTTACAACAAATATGGATCACTTGAGGACATGGACGTGTCCGAAAACGTCAATATAGGGCACACAGCTTGTCGCCCTCCAAAACAGTGCGGGGTAGATCCCCAATAAATCCGCCGAAAAGATAGTTAATTCCAACACCATCGTACAGTGGAATTGCAGAGGACTAAGGCATAATTATAATGAATTACTGTTATTAGTCCAGGATTGTATGCCGTCAGCATTCTGTTTGCAGGAGACTTATTTAAAGCAGACAGATCCTTTTTGACCTACGTTATTTCAATGCTTATCATTCTTTCTCACCTCCAGGTGACAGGGCCACTGGAGGTTCTTCAATCCTAGTCAAACAGAATGTTATCCATAGCCCTATTACACTTACTTCTCATCTTCAAGCAGTTGCAGTGCGACTCACTTTACGTTGCATTCACATTATGTTCTTTGTATATCTCACCATCTTCAGTCATTCAGAAGACTGATCTTCAAAATTTATATGACCAACTCCCAAAACCTTGTATCATTATGGGAGATTTAAATGGCCACAACCCGCTCTGGGGTGGTACAACAACTAATGCTAAAGGTAAACTCTTAGAAGACTTTTGTTCAGACAATGATTTATGCATATATAATGACGGTTCTAGCACATATTTACATCCTGGCACGGAAATTATTCAGCTCTTGATTTATCGATTACTACCTCAGACTTATTGAGTGAATTCGATTGGTCAGTCCACGACGACCTGTGTGGAAGTGACCATTTCCCAACAATTCTCAAACCCGTGAATCCATCTGATGTTCCTCCATCATCAAGATGGAACTTTAAGAAGGCAAACTGGCCTTTATATGAAACTTTCTGTGCTGACATACTCAAACCAGAACTTTTTCATGATCTTCCTGATGCCATCAATTGTTTTTCAGATGAGCTCAGACACATAGCTGAGAAGTGTATCCCCAAATCCTCTGCAGTTCCTCATGTACGTAAACCATGGTTTAACGCTGAATGCAAACAAGCTCGCAAGGCACGAAAGAAAGCTGAACATTATTTCCGTCGCCATCCTATGGTCCACAATTTAAACAAATTTAGAATTTTAAACGCCAAAGCACGGCGTACTTTTAAACAAAATAAACGCCAATCTTGGCGAAACTATGTCTCAAACATCAATTCGCGCACGCCAATATCAAAGGTGTGGAACATGATTCAGAAAATAAAGGTAAAGGGATCTAAATCTAGCATTAAGCATCTAAAAAGTGGAGATGAATTATTAACTGATAAATCTGACATAGCAAATAAACTTGGAGAAACTTTGGCCAAACATTCTTCCTCATCTAACTATGTACCTGAATTCCAGAAATATCAAAGACAGCAGGAAAAGAAGTCTATTAATTTCAATTCAGACAATGGGAAGACTACAATGAAACCTTTTCGATACATGAGCTTCATACTGCTCTTGACCAAGCTCACGATACTGCTTCAGGAGCTGATGGTATACATTATCAACTCCTGAAGCACTTGCCTGAATCATGTTTAGAGACGCTCTTATCTATTTTTGATGACATTTGGACATCTGGACAATTTCCTTCGTCGTGGCGCGATGCTATAATTGTGCCCATCCCTAAACCTGGACGTGATCATACTGATCCTTCCAATTATAGGCCAATTTCATTAACTAGCTGTGTTTGCAAGACCATGGAACGCATGATAAATAATCGACTTGTTTGGTACTTGGAAACCAATCACCTTATAACTAATA